CCCACTATCCCTTTCCCGCGTACGGTTAGGATGCTAGCTCCTACCAATTTTGAATAAAGATATATTTATTTCAGCCTCAAACCACTTAATTGCATTCTTCCCTTTTCTGCTAAATTAAAGCACCATCTACTGTCAGCAGTCCCTTCCACATCTGCATGTGATCCACTTACTGACAAACCACCGTGTGTAAACATCTGCTTCTAGGTGGATAATCAGTCATGGGTCAGACTGGTGAGCATGAGCCACTACACACGAGATAAAAGAACCAGTTCCACCAGCCAAAGCTGTTCCATCAGCCTCTCTTCATGGCCCTGCGCCCACACCGCACTTGTAGACTGATCAAAGCCCATTCTTAATTTTCTCTTGACCGTACGAACCAGAGCAAGCTCATTACATCTCTTACAGTATGGCAGCTCTCCTAGATCTTGAGTCACATTTGCAGTTATCTCTCTGAACCGTTTTCAACTTCTCCCCAAATCTCCGAAGCACTGACTCTGGAAGACCAGCATGCGGAGCTAATGCTTCTCAAAGCAGGGCCCCTTTTACACAGAGGTTTTATGTATATCATTCCAATGTTCTTTTTATAGTCATTGGTTTGCAGAAAATAATCCTCGTCTTGTAAGCACGATCTGTTGTCACCTCTGAGATGCCTGACTTTTGATTTGGCTCCAGTAAAGGATTCCTCAGGAAAGGGCCCTGTGAAAAGGTCTGGACTGACCCAGTCCTGCTACTCCATACTTCCCCAGTCTTTGGCTCTAGCAAATTTTCCTAGTGTAATTTTACATTTCCTACAGATTGGTTTTAACCACTGTGAACACCTGCTGGCAGGATTACACTAGAAGTGTCACTAAGGGATTAATTCTCAACCCTGACAGTAACTTTTTAAAGCTGTGTGACATATCCCACTCCTAAAAGGACATGTCTACAACAGTGTTATGTGGAATCAGCATATAATGGACTGAGACAAATAACTAATGCCTATCTTAAAAAGATTACCTTTATCAGTCAACCTTCTAGTTCATCTAAAAAACCCCACCTTCATCTACAGGACAAGGTTTCATTTCCACAAAATCCAAGATAACTGACATCAATTATGCTGCCATCCTAGCTCTGTTCCAGGTCTAACTTTCCAGGATTTTTCCTGCAAAACGGAGCTGATCAACTTACAGCCACCTCTTTGTCATTTCTCATACTTCTCCAGGAATGGCACAACATTTGCTGGTCTATCCAACATTCCAAGAAGGGTTACAAAGCAAACAGTAATAACAAAAAGAACTCTTCATTTAACTCTTTAAATACTCTTTAGTGCTTACTGATTTAAAAAGATATATAATTGTCATTTAACATTCTCACAGTTACTAATAAAATAGAGAAAGTACTTAATTGTTGCTGTACAATGGGACAACATCATTCTATCTTCACCCAAATAAATGAAACAAATACTTAACAGAATGGTTCTGCCTTCACTCATCATAACTGATAGGTTAATCACCTTTGCCCAGCTTCATGTCTGAACCACTCTTATACCCTGGTGGTCTTGACATATTCAGATGTGTCCTCCTTTTTCCTTAAGTCCACAGGTAAGACTTTTCATTAGTATCTTTTTGACACTAAGGTCTAATATTTGATCTTCTAGCAGCTTTTTCTTAAACGTCTTTCAAAGTCCTCTGCCCACTCTCCTTGCAAAGCTGCAAGCTTCTGTCACACACTCAGAAGACAGTGCTCAGGTGCAGATTGCTATCTTCAGGTGCACATGATGAAGATATGGTGAGTCTTGGACTTTGCCTGGGTTCTGCACATCAGGCACGTACATCAAGTCTGGGCAGCCAGGACTGTTTTGATCAAGACAGGCAGAAAGGTGAGCTGGCTTGGTCTCACCAGCTTTGGCAATCACACTGTGGGACAGTGAGAAGATTGCAGGGCCACCCTAATGGCACTGTGGAAGGGCAGCATTGGGCAGGGATGTCAGGCACCTGACTTCACATCCTGACCAGAAGTTTGGACACTTGGCACCAGCATAGCTGGGCTCCTTCACAGCCAGCACTGGCTGACAGTGCCTGAGCATGGGAAACCTGCAAACTCACTCCTGGCTCCAGGCAAGTTTCTGGCTGAAGAAACACACCGTGCAGGCAGCATCAGTTACAGCTCAATTGTTTCTCCACAAAGAAGTATGCAAACACCTTTTTGTTTGTTTACACAGGATGTCAAAGCTGTATTTCTTTACCAGAAGAGCTCAAGGACTGAACACATTGGACATAGTCCAGGTTCCAGTTTGCTACCAGGGTGGTAGGAAGGAGGGTCACGGACTCTCCACACCAGACAGACTTTCCCTAAAGCCCTAAGCTGGGAGCTGCAGCCAGAGGTACCTCTTCTTGACACAGATGCTCAGAGGTTGAGTTCATTTACACGAAACCCAGGATTCACACAGATCTTCTTGAACAATATAGCACTGAAAACACATCTATGCATTGTAGCAATTGCTGCTTCCTCTTATCAAAGCGCTTTAGGGATTTGTCAGGGGAAAAAAACCACAAAGTCTGCCTTTACGCAATTTTGGAACTAAAGGCTTTGAGGAAAGATATAACAGAATAATTAAAGAATACATCTTTAGGGTAACTGGTGCTTAGGGAGGCTTAGCATATTCTGGTTTGATCTGGCTGCTGCTACTTTAACTGGTGCTATAACCTGAGCCAGAGGGACGCACACGTCTCTCCTGCTCTGCCAAATTCTTTCCTCACTTGTTAGTTTATATACTTCATTAGTAAAGACTGTGTTAGTTATAAGCTCAAACTCCCAGTTTTCCTTCATCACCACCTGGAGGCAATACAAAAGGGTCAGTTGGGTTTTTATATTTATGTCTTTTCATAGGAAATTTACAGGTCATCACTGCAGAGATTTAACCCAAAAATCCACTGAAGTTCAGCCAGCAGAAGAGACATGGAACTAGAAGCCAAACCCTGATCGATTTTCAGAATGAGGAGCAGGCCACTGGAGGAGCCATCAAAGCAAGCAGTGAAAATGTCAGTGAGATAAATGAGCCTTGGAAAAGCCAACAGAGGGCAAGAGAACCCTCAAGTGTCAAAGACGAGGCTCACCGACACCTGCGTTAGGGAGAAAGACGTGCCAGCTCTGAAGGAAAAGGACACTGATTCTAGAGAAACTCCCCTGGATCCCCCATCTTTTCCAGAAAAGCTCAGAGCTGAGTTGCAAATACCCTCACAAACACAACGGCAGCTTTACCTACCTCCTGTCCTGGAGCCCAAGCAGGTTACTATAAGCAGTTTGAACACAAAGGTGCTATAGTAAGAAGTCATGAAGAAAACTAAGAAAGCACGGCATCGCTTACACTATGTTACAGGCGTGAACTATAGCATTTGTTCACATGCCCTCCAGCTGCTGCGAGTTATTAACACAACTCTACTCACAATGGAGGGATTAGTAGGAGTGAGTTGACAAAGCTGCTTTGGGATGATGAAAAGTGTACGCATACCTGGAAGGATTGAGTTTGCCTCATTTCAGCACCATATCGGTACATTGTGTGTCAGGAAAGGTGCATCAGGATGCCCTTTTGGCATGGAGGTAATCAAACAAACAAGTTCATTTCCAGGGCTTATGGGAGGCAAGTGAAGGTAACATCTCAAGGGACAGCTTTGTGAAGGAGAACAGAAATGGAGAAGCTTGGGTGGGGACAAGACCAAAGCCTTGGTGTAGATCCCCCACCATACAACTCTAATCCCCTCTTTCCTTCCTGTGCTCTCACGCACTGCTCTGACCTCACCCCTCCTGCCTTTCCCACCCTTCCCCCGGGAAAGCTGCGTTCAGCGTGTGGTTACATGAACACGCGCTTCAATAGCCTCAGTAGCACCCACCCTCCGAACCCAGCCCCAGCCCTCACCCTCCGCCTCGCGTGCTGCCGCTGCCACAGCGCTGTGCCAATGCCACTCTTCAGTGGAAGGGGAGCTCTGCAAATGACATCACCGGGGTGACTTGGGTTAAGAGAAAAACTTTTCAATTGGAATCATTTCAGTGACCCACTTTAAAGTCCCTCTTCAAACAACAGCAACAGCACAAGGAGAAGGTAGGGAGCTACAGTCTGAGAGCAGGCAGCAGCAGCTCTCATGTATATACGAGGCAGCAAATACAGCTTCTTAGACTGGCTTTGCCAACAGAGAAAATGTTGGTGTAACTCCATCCTGAAGAGAAGGTGAACCTGGAGCTTTTTCCCTGTGGCTAGAATCAGCCCACTAGACTTCTGAGTGCCTACAAGTGGAAGGGTTCACAAGATCTCCTAAGTCTGACCCCACCGACTTCAGCTGTATCTCTTATCTAACGCTTCTGCAACCAGGCAAATTTTTTCAGCCCTTAATCATAGAATGGTTTGGGTTGGAAGGGTCCTTTAAAGGTCCCTTAAGTCAGGTCCCCTCCAGTTGCTCCAAGGTGGTGAGTAAAGGGGAAAGATCTGGACTTTCTCCTTGACCAGCGAGCAGTAAGGGAGTGAGGAGAATCTCAAGGCTCTGCTCCCAGCACACTAGAGCTGCCACAGAGTGGAACCGTTGGGCTCTGCTTTGAGCTTGAGACAAGATGAGAAAGTAGCTAACCTTCCCTCATCAGTCTCCTCCATCAGCTCTTCTGGAATCCAAAATGGCAGATACCCAAACCCACTGTAATTCATTGATAATCACGGCTGAAGAACATTCCTGGAAGCATACCCAAGTCTTCATCTATGCCCTACTCACCAAGAAGGTTCCCAAGAGCAGCAGTGTGGCAGTAGCCTTAACACCTCCTACAGTACCCAAGCGCTCTCTCGTAATAACCCCTCTGTTGCAACTGCATCCACCTACTGCTTTAGGCTCTCTCTTTGTGCCCTGCTGTCCCAAGCCTTTCTTGTCCCTTTTTCCCACATCAGCTTCAATTTTTATCTTTCCTAAGACCTGCTCACAGGAGGACATCTGGGAGGTATTTGACTATTAGGCATATGTACTACACAACCAACATCCAGAGTACTTCCCCAAGATATCGGTGTGTTTACAAGCATACATATCACCAAACCCTGTTACTGCAATACTACAGAAATACATTTCTAGCCTGTTCCTTAGGTCTCGTTCACACTTGATATCTCAGGGACTTTGCATACGTTTCATGAAGGCTTGAGGTTCTTTCCTATCTCTGCACCAAACCCATTATAAAGAATGTAAACCCAAAGTGAGCAGCTCATCCTAGAGTGGCTATATTTCACAACCTCCTGAGAAACTACTTTTAAAAAACCTGAAATATTCCATTCCTCAAAAAACAGGTGAGCAGCAAGGGTCACAATTACATTAACCTTCACTGCAAGAATCTTCCACCTGCCCCCTGTCATTAACACTAATTTCCCATGAGCAACCTTCTGAAAGAGTCCGTATGTGGACTTTTCAACAGATTAAAATCTTAACTCTCCAACCAGAGCTGAGCTAAACCCCAGATGGGTGAGAGTCTGTTGTGTGCAAAATATCTAAGAAGGTAATTTGTAAAATGATTTTACCTTCTGGACATCATTTCTCACATTAATCCAAACTCTGAAGGCTAACCCTATCCCACATTGCTGTGAGGCAAGGCAAACTTCAAAGCAACCTAAATTAGCACAGCAGACTGCAAAAAATGAAGAATAAACTTTCACATAGAGAGTAACTCCCAACTCTAAGTACAGCAGGCAAGCTCTACCATCAACATGAGAGATGTGTAGAGCTACAGAAAGGCTGGAAAAGCTTATGAACTTTGTTGTGGAAAAGTGGGCAGAAGCGGAGCTGGGCCAGGAAATTAGACCAATGTGTTTAGAAAGCAGGAACTGTGGTGTTAGTCTGGGTTCAAGGAAGTACCACTGCCTGGAGAGAAGCAGTACCAGGACTTCGAAAAGAGATCATGCCCCAATAAAAATCTCTGACAGCTTCTGAAAGAAACCACCTCTAATCTGGGAGGTGGCACTAAACCAAAACTGCAGCACAAAGGGAAGGAATGACAGAAAAGCAAGGGTAAGAAAGATTAAAGGACTATCATTGGGGAGCTGATTGTAAACATGCCAGTGAGTTTCAGAAGCAACCTCTATAGCAGAACTGAAGAATCAAAGGAGCTTCTTCTGAAGGCATCAATTCAAAGGCCACAGGACCCAGGAGACTGCTATCGCATCCTGGCACAGGCTT